ACATACTATGTATGTTTTGATTTGATACCATCCTACTTCCATTAATCCATAATTGCAGCCAATTATTATTTTGCAAAATACAATTAATGTTTTTTTTCATAGTTAAGTATGCCAACCAAGAATATCTATGTTAATTGAACAACATCATATTTACATTAAACAAAAACCTTGTGAATCTTTGAATTACTATTTTCGCTATATCTCATAATTATCTCTAATACTTTTCTATTTCTCATTGCACAAACGAAATGACACATAACAGTAACAGTGAAATCGTCATTGATAAGCTGGATGACATAGATGCCTCCAAAGAATCATGGAATATTCGTGTTCAAGTTGTCATGATTTGGAAACAGACATACACAAACAACCCAAACATAGTTAGCAGCTTGGACATAATTTTAATGGACCAGAAGGTAAGCTTAAAATAATATGAAAAAAACTTATGTTTTTTTTTTCATATAATAATATTCTTTATCACCTACAGAGCACTAGAATACATGCAACAATCAAAAAAACCTCATAAATGCTTTTCAAGCCCTTGAATTTATTTAATTGATTTCAACCCTTAAACCGTACTTAATATTTCTAGTGATGTCATCCTAACAAAACAATTCACTATTTATTTTCGTCTATCATAACTAATTCCCATATTCAAATCGAAAAATTAGCCACCAAAGACGGGAACTTAACTAACCATTAACATTCTCCAAATTTTAAATTTTAAAAAATAATCCTAAAATGTTCAACATTATATATCCGAACTACATTTTGAAATTCAATATTTAAGGGATAAGATAAAAATGATTTTTATCTTATCCCTCCAAAACCAACTTCGATTTAATATATATATATATATATATATATATATATATATATATATATATATATATATATATATATATATATATATAGGGAAAATGGAATATACATTACAGCTCCACCTAAGCTTAGGTACTAAACCTCTTGAAAATACATTGTTTTACTATATAAAGATTACGGTTAATGGATTCATGATTAATACTTCAAGATGTAAATTCAAGATCGACACAACAGGATTTAGGGTTTAGATTTAGGGTTTAGGGTTTAGGGTTTAGGTTTAGGTTTAGGGTTTAGGGTTTAGGGTTTCGGGTTTAGATTTAGGGTTTAGTGTTTAGGTTTAGGGTTTAGGGTTTAAGGTAAAGGTTTAGATTTAGGGTTTAGGGTTTAGGGTTTAGAGTTTAAATTTAGGGTTTAGGGTTTAGTAATGTTCACTTGGGTGAAGTAATAAACGGTAATTAAGGAAAGAAAACAGGGATGATAAAACGATAATGAAAGAAAGAAATGTTGTGGAGGATGATATATTTACCAAGTGAAACCAAACCGGGTATATCTAGCATGTTAAAACGACATATTTTAGAAGTTTAATACCTAAGCTTAGGTGGGGCTGTAATGTATATTCACTATATATATATATATATATATATATATATATATATATATATATATATATATATATATATATATATATATATATATATATATATATATATATATATATATATATATATATATATATATACCTCCAAACCCCATTCCTATTGGGCATCGCTTCCAACAATTAGCACACAAACACACTCAAGGTGTTGTTGCATGAGTAAGATTAATTCAATCAAGCAATAATGAGTTGCAATGGCTGCCGAATTCTTCGAAAGGGCTGCAACGAGAACTGCATTCTCAGACAAAGCCTCTGTTCCATCGAAAGCGCTCAAGCTCAAGCCAACGCCACTTTGTTCGTTGCCAAATTTTTCGGCCGTGCCGGCCTTATGTCCTTCCTCTCCTCCGTCCCTGAGCACCAACGACCTGGTAAATATCGTCACAACTGTTTGAAGTTTTGTCTATTTATCTCATATATAACCTTCTACACGTCAAACTGTTTGAAGTTTTGATTGATTAATACTTTGATATATACTGCGACTTGATTGTAATTAACTGTTTAATTGGTTACGTTCAGGTTTATTTCAGTCTTTACTGTTTGAAGCCTGTGGCCGGACGGTGAATCCAGTGAACGGAGCAGTCGGACTGCTGTGGACAGGAAACTGGCACGTCTGTGAATCAGCTGTAGCGACGGTGCTCCGAGGTGGAAGCATACGTCCCATGCCGGAGCTGTTTGCAGTCGGATCTACTCAAGTGACAACGGAAAGCGACAGTGCATCAGAAGCTATCAACTGCAACTTTGATGAAGCTGCTAAACTGAACCCCGAGGATCTAAAACTTGGACTTACTAGATCCGCTTTCATGGCCGATGCTAGAAGGAGCTCCGGCGATGGTGGAAGTAGTAATCAGTGGACGGAGAAGCTGATAAAGGTGACATCTACAGATGTATCTGAAACGACGACGTTGGATAGCAGTAGCCGTTCAAATTGTAGTGAAAAGAAGCTTCTGAGACTTTTCTTGTGATAAGAGCAATGAATTATGGCCAATGATTGTTTTTTTTTTTTTTTTTTTTAAATCTTATTTTGACTTTTTAGCTTTCTTCCATTAACAATAGAGTTAGATTTGAGTTTAATAACGTAAAAATATGTCAATTAAATTGATCATAACTGATACCGAAAATATATTAAAATGTTATCAGCTTACTTCTCAGTATTTGTAAATCGTGTGTAAGATAAACATGTAAATTTAAAAACGTTGTTAGTGATACAAAAATTATCAAACAAGGTTAACAAGGACAAATATAATGAACAAATGTTTTTATTTATTTTTTTATAAAAACTTGAAGGTTTAAATGATTTCACTGTTTTATAAAAACTTGATGACAGATCTCCAAAATTTTGGGAACTTAATGTAATGATTATTCGATTCATAGTTTTGTCATTATGATACCACTGATTAGATGGAAATATGGAATGCCTCGTTGGATAAGAACAACAATAATTGCAATAACATTGATAAATATAATGAAACAAAATAATTGTAGTTTTGTGTATGGGAGAATATATCGACCACTACCCACTTCACAAGTTAAGATTCTCAAGTAGACCTACTTGTTACCTTATCTAAACAAAAAGGGAAAAGGGTAAAAAGGACATTTCCCACTCAAGATTCAAGAAGTCATGGAGATAGATTGGCTCATGAATTATAACTGGCTCTTGCATCCCTCCAGGAGGCAATAATAGCATGTAAAGATCCTGGGACAAACAGACGGGTCACATTGACCAAATTTGTGGGTCCATATTTCTTTGTGGCTAACCCAATTGCATTTCTTAAAATCTCGATATTTCCTTAGGCCCGGGAAACTACACCACACAAATGCTATACATAAATAAAGGCCTGAGATCATACTTCCACATGAAAGTGTTTCAACAAGTGGCATGGGTCACGTTTGAGCTAAATATTATAAACAAATTGAATGACATAGATTTATGTATTTTAAGTTTGTGCTTGTTTGAATAGAATTTTGTAGAGTTAAAAGGCACTAAATTATTTTATAAAGCTTTACCTACACATATTATCTATATACATATATGTAGTTAAATAAAATAAGTACTTTATTTTGCTATAGCGCCTATTTATACATGTATTTTCATCATTATCATATTATTTGAGTTGTATTTTGATGTTTGTTAGAACAAAAGATGCTTATATATTTCAAATTGCTGTTATTTTAGATATAATACATAGTTAGGGTGAAAGGAAGCGATTTGGATGAAAATAGAGTTGGAATACAGAAGTTGTGAAATTGTGCTGAAAAGTGTAAGGCGTGACACGTCCTAGCCATGGACGTGATGCGTTCCCAATGAGATTGTTTGGAGGGCACGTGACAAGCGCTAAGTCGCGACGTGTTCGATGTTTCTATTGAATACCTCTATAAATAACCTTAAACGTTTGACCTAATGAGACACACATCTAATCGGTCATACTTTTTGATTTAAGGTATTAATACTTGGTTTTCCAAGCGTCGCTCCTCTAGTTGAAGTATCGGGCCCCTTTTTGTTGCCTAGGTTACACCTTCGGAATACCCCAAGTGTTGCAAGTGGCTATCTAGGCTGTCACTGTAAATCAAGATGTCATCGAAAAAAACCAGTAAAAATTTCCTCATAGAAGATAGAGTGAAAGAAGTCTTTATCTCTGTACCATCCCTCTACAGACTGACTTGAGATAAAGAAGAAAGAGAAAGACTTTCTGCGACAACTCCTATGTTGGAAACAACCTATACCTTACTTCATAGTCATAGGGAACCTGGCAGGTTGGACGTGGTATCCTGCAGGCAGGATGTGTTTTATCCATCCTTAGGCAATTCTGACTTGTTCATCGGCAACTGATCTAGCTCCTGAAATATATAACATTCTTGATCCTTCCTTTTACTAGTCTTCTCGGCTGGAATCAAAAAAGATTCTCCGCTCTTTAGTCTTCATCATTTACTCCCCTTTCTTTTAGTAGGCGCCAGTCTTCGGAAGAGTGTACTGGTGGTGGTTTAGTTAGAGACAACAACGGGAAGGGGCTCTGATGGAGGTGCATATTCATATTCTCCACTCGGGAAACGGGCAAGCAAATCAACTAAGGCTTTACTTTTCATTGCGTTGGGAGTTACAACAAAGAGAACTACAATTCCAACTGGATCCAATGAGAAGAGAATTCGAACACCAACCCTTAAGACTGTATGCAAGTGAACGTGTACGAAAAAGCTGTCGTAAAGTTTCGTTCTTCGTTCCGTCTTCCTTTTTATGTTGTCGTGATGGTTACCCTAGTCGTCATGGGAAAGAAAGGCAGAAAGAAGAAAGAAATTATTCCCTTTTTTCTTGTCCAATACCACCAGTACCAGAAATGCATCTCCTTCACCCGCGCGAGAGACGCAGCGCAACGACTAGGACTCGTGTCGGAGGACTTTTGAGCGTGAGCTACCACTCATGCAGCGACAAGGACCCGCAACTCTCGAAGGGGCCACCAACCAAATCTTTTCATCCTAATTGTTTTCTTCGGTTCGTATTGTTGAATCGAAAGCAAGATTGACTGCGAACTCACTCGAACCATTTCTTGTCGATCGCGGATCTGGAGAAGCTTCCGGTGGGGACTGCTCCGCCGACATTGGAACGAGGCAAACCGCTGCTTATCACAACCTCTGGTGCCGGTGGAGGTTTGACCTCCCAAAGAATTGAATGGAGCACTTTGCATAAAGAAAGGTAAGCCTTACAACGGTTCTAATCAATCAACTTTATATATATATATATATATATATATATATATATATATATATATATATATACAGTAGATTATAACCCGTGTTAAACGCGGGGGAACGTATTAAAAAAATTACAAAACATTTATATATATTGCATAATAATTATAAAAGAAAGTTTATGGCAACTGTTATTATTGAAAGGTGAAGAAGAAACACTGAAATCGATAAATAACTATAAACGTTGCATGACTTTTTTGTAGATAACGTTTTTTGTTTTATTAGTTGAGCGATCTTCCCCGTCACATATGAGTACCTTCAAACGTTTTTTGTTTGTTACACAAGAAACAACTACATATAACTGACCATGGGTGAAGACAGGTCTACGCAAGTATAATCCAACATTTGATAATGACTGTCTTTGACTTTTGTTAATGGTCATAGCGAAACAAACTGCTATTGGGAATTTCCTACATTGAAAACAGAATGGAATTTTTTATCGGATGGGGTCAACTTCATGCGAGGCATATAAGTAATCTCGTTGAAAAATCTACTATATATGATTTGTGCTTCAATGACGTGTCTTCCAAGCCTTACGATTTGTAATCTGGTACCATTGCATAGCCCTCTGGTTTGGTCGATCTTACGAAGCAACATGACCGGAACACCTTTTTTTAGTATAAGTTTATGGTTGGGAATTCCGGAGGCCTTAAAAGCGTTCAACACATCCATTGAGTACTGATTTCTCAAAAAAATCTTCTGTCTTGGTCTCACATAAGGAATCTGATCTCAGATATGTTTCCCCTTCATCTTTCATCAATTCTAACATGTAGTCGTTGATAACATTAACTTCTTCATTAGTAGGGACCAAAATAGTTTTATCTTGAAAATACGATGGATCATCAAGATTGTTCTGAAAAGATGAATAAATGCAGGATACAATTGAATGAATATGGTCACTCGTAGAGGGAACGGTCACATCTTCTGGAAATTCAACTTTAACTTCACCATCATTAGGACCACCGATAGTACCTTTACCAATTTTAAGAATCCAATTAGCAAATGATTTTGTCTCTTCAAAATCATTGTTTGGACACCCGAACTAAAGTCTCATGTTTACAGTCAAACATAAAACTGTACATTCACGCCATAATCTTGATGAATGCAATGATGTCTACACAATATCTGAACGATTTCCTCCTTGTATTACTGGAAGAATTTGTCGAAAGTCACCTCCAAATACAATGGTCTTGCATCTAAATGGTTTATCATTGTTCTTAGGAAGGATAATATCTGTAAGTGTCCTATTAGCTGCTTCGAAACAATGACGATGCATCATTAGGGCTTCGTCCCAAATTATAAGGCCTACTTTGTTCAACAGGGCAGCTACATCGTTACCTGGCGTAATATAACAAAACGATCAATTTGATTGATATATGAAATCTTGAATACGCTGTCTTACCACCAGAAAGAAAAATCATCAATGATAAATATCAAATAATCATAACTGCTAAATTTATTCGAGTTTTTCCATTTTTGGAATCTTAAGGGTATGAGGAGCAACACCATCTTTTGAGGAAGACCATTCAAACGATTCAGTGGTGGTAACAATCTTAATAAGTGTTTCAATGAAGTAGTTGTTGGTGTCACCGCATCAAGATCAACAACATTAATATTGTCACCTTTAACAGAAACATTATTTTCCTGTATAAAATTAATAAAACAATGTTAATTAACAACATTAAGATTGTCACCGCATCAAGAATAAATGTTTATTAACAATGTTAAAATGTTAAATTATACGAATTTAATTTTACCTTAATAGACTTGTTGATAGGAGTACCATCAGAATGAATAATGTTTTCTTCGTATGCAGGTGAATGTTTGAAAAGTGCATCAACTACAAGTTCATCATCAGTCATCTTATGAACGATGTAGGCGTGATAATTGTTCTCGTGATTAAACTTTGAAATCTGAACTTTGAAAACAAACTTCCTATTAAGCATCGTATTGAACTCATCGGGGATCTTTTGGCGTCCTTGATCCTAAAGAATATTATAATAAAACATGTGAGTAGTTTATAAATCCTGATTAAAATAAAATGCAATAACAATATACAGTTAACTTGTCGTGTGTACAAATTAATAGAATAATATAATATAACACTACCTTTCATATATTTTCCATCAACCAATGATTACTGCGGTGAATAAGATCTTTAATATGACGGTCAAACAATACAAAAGAAGCAAACCCAGTTTCATGTTGAGCACGTATTACGACCCTTACCCTAAATATTATTGTATGACACGTTAATGGACAATGAAATAAAAATTGAAACATTGTAATAAAGATTCATAAGACAAGAAGTTTACAAATGTAAAATTATGAACTTACTTGTTGAATACATCAGAAACTCCTCCGCAACCATTAATATTAAATGGTTCACCATCACTATTATCACCAGTTTTAGTTTCATTTTTTGAACAGTCACGACAATAAAAAAGAATACCATCCTTCCTCTAAATCGAAACCGATTATAGTAGCAATGATAGACAAACCAATTTCCTGATTGGTATATATATATATATATATATATATATATATATATATATGTATATATATATATATATATACACACACACACATTAAAAAAATTGTTATATATAGTGGAAAAATATGAATAATATTAAGTATACCTCATTGTAATCTGGAATATCATCAATGCTTTTTATTTGAAAAAAGGAGGTAGTAATCTTCTGGCTTGGCCACAACAGTTTTTGTGTTAGGTTGTGTAGTATTAATGGAAGACTCAACATTCAAATCGATATCAACAATGCTACATATAAGAAGGAAAAATGAAGAAGATCAACAATAATAATAATTATTGATTAAGAATAAGTAAAAATAAAATAGTAAATAATTATATCATAGTCATCAAATACATAGTCTTTTTTAAATTCTGAAATATGATGCATATCATCATTAATATGCAATCTTGACCCAAATAAATAGTTACGACTTGTGGCTAACCTATAAATAGCAAATGAAGTAATAGATTATTTCATATTATAAAAAAAATATTAATGTAATGAGCATAGACATCTAAAAATAATTATTCTTACCACCCCAAGTCTTGAGCTTTGCTATACGTAGGAGGATGATCACAATAGCATTTTCATTTTGATGTTCAGATATGTAGCTGTTCAACTTCAATGCAAAACCATCCCACAAAGCAACTTGCATTTTCCTACCACTATAATTAATCGTTTGGGTTATATGAATAAAATATTAAACATGATAAATTAATGAAAAATAAAGAAAAGTACCTCAGATCTTGTGCAACAATACTCGTTAGCCTTGTTTCCCTTGCATTCTCCTTAATCACTCTCATGAGTTCAGTAGATAAAACTTGACCAATACAATCTACAAAAGGTAAATTTGAATAAATTATTATAATATAAATTGGTTAAAAAAATATATAATATAATAAATGCAAAAGTGTTAAGGGGAAAAAGCTCACCAAATGCAACACGAGTGTCAAAATTTCTGACCATTAGATCATGAAAACTCACAAAATTAATGTAACATCCCAAGTTTGGAACAAGAAGTGAAGGGTGCTAAGTGTAAATAAAGGAAGGGACTCGACGAGTAGGTATGCTTACTCTCCAAGTTGGAGCGGGTTTGGATTGCGAATTAAGTGACCGACTCTCCGAGTCGGAAGCTGGACTCAACGAGTTGGTGCTGGAATGAGAAAAATCCTAATCTTAGGGTTTACATCCTATTTAAAGGACTTTATGTCCTTCTCCCAGCCTCTTAATCCCCCAAAGAGTTCACGAAACCCTAATTTTGTGTGAGGCTTGATTATTGAGGAGATTGGAGCTTGGAAGAGGAAATTGGTGGGAAAGAGCTTGAGGAATTAAAGGCTTGTTGCAAAGGAGTGGTGATCCGGGATCTACTTTAGTTGGAGCTTATATTGGAGGTAATAATCTGTTGCTTGGGTTCTTTTGCATCTAGATCTTTTATCATTTGAAATTGTGGGGCATTTTTGGTATGATTAAGAGTTATTTCGAGTTAGAGGCTTAGATATGAGGTTGCTACTTCAGATCTAAGCTTGTGATGGTCCATAATGTCATAAAGTTTCAGTCATTGAGTTGTTGGTGAAGCCCTTTGTCCAAAACCCAAGCCATAGTGTTTTTTGAGCCTATATCTCCTTGGTCTCACGTAAAGTTTGCAACTTTATGTGAGGGTTAGATTGTAGAAGGGTGGATCTATGGATTTGAGCCTCTGCATGGCTCAAATAGCTTATGAATGGGTTGAGAAATGGAGAGACTCGGCGAGTTGCATGGGTGTACTCGATGATTTGTATGAGCATGTGCATGGACTCGGCTAGTTGGAAGAACAACTCGGTGAGTCTGTTGAAGATTGCCTTGGACTCGGTGAGTCTGGTCGCAAAACCCAACCTCTTTTGGTGAAAGCCTTAAATTAAGTGAGTCGGTTGGCGACTCAGTGAGTCGGTCAGGATGGGACTCAAAGATTGTTGGACTCCGCGAGTCTTGGGGTGACTTGGCGAGTTAAGGTGTGTAATGAGAGTTTTCTAGGTATGGGAACTCGGCGAGTTGGTGGGGTGACTCGGCGAGTAGAGTTAACCAGGAAGGTTGACTTTGACTTTAACCAAGAGTTGACTAGTTTGACTCCTAAGGATATTTTGGTAATTATGGAATTGGTTCTTTGGTAGTGTTTTGAGGTGAAGTTCGTCTCGGTGGTTGGAGCAGCTTGGTCTTATCTCTTCAGTCGACAATTGCAGGTGAGTTATCCTCATAATATCGACAGGGTCTACAACACCAAGGTTGGCCCTTTATCAGATGGAAATCCGGGTATTGTTTGTTATGTTATTGCTTTGCTAAACCTGCATCCTAGTATTTAGGATGCTGTTTTGTTAGTGACTTGGTTAAGGTTGGTACCCGATATATAGGGTAATGTTATGCTAGTGACCGGTTAGGTCAGAATCCTGGTTAGGATGTTGATATGCTATGTGATCTGATAGACTATTGTATTGTTAAGGATTTGTTATGTGATTAATTGTTTTATGTGCACATGGTTGTTTGACGGTGGTTTGGGTTGAGGTGGGTCCTGCTTTGTGTTGTAGGCCAACATACCAAGGGCAGATCGGATATTCCGAAGGCCTAGTGAGCGGTCCGAATAGGCTGAAGGCCCCAAGAGGGCGGCCAGACATGCCGAGGCTCGGAGAGTGGACCAGGCCGACAGAAGGCCCGGTGCGGGCGGACAAGTCATAATGTAGACTCAGAGAGTGAACCAGGTGGATTGAAGGCACGGTGTGGGCAGACCAATCACACTGTAGACTCAATATACATGGCTGGACTCAGAGGGTGGACCAGGCCGACTGAAGACCCGGTGCGGCGGACCAGTCCTACAGTAGACCCGATGTGCATGGTTGTTCTATTTGCGATATGTTATGAGTATGTTTATGTGTGGTTGGTATTTTGGGGGTATCTCACTAAGCTTTCGGGCTTACAGTTCAGTGTTTTGTTTTAGGTACTTCAGGAGATCATGGCAAGGAAAAGGCGTGATCGTACTGCTCCTCATGTTTTATGATTTATGTGATATGGTTATGGGGAATACTCTAATGTTTAAACTATTTTGAAAATGAATGTATGAACTTAATGGTTTTTGAATTAATTCAAATGTTTTAATTTGGCTCAAATTTTATGGTCGTTACAATTAAAAGGATCGATCCTATCAACAGAATGAGTTGATACACGAATTGTGGTTGTTTTGTAGGAATTTATCTTATGCTTGTGAGCAACCAACATGTAATCTCATTCGTTTATGGTCATACCAAAGTTAGTGATTTGCCTTACAGCTCCTTCTTCTAGGAGGTCTTGAAATGCATTTATGATCTTCTTTTTGATTGTTGCATGTATTCTAGTGCCCTGTAGGTGATAAAGAATATTATTATATGAAACAAAAATAAAACATAGGTTTTTTTCATATTATTTTAATTTTACCTTTTGGTCCATTAAAATCATGTCCAAGCTGCTGACTATGTTTGGGTTGTTTTTGTATGTCTGTTTCCTAATCATGACAACTTGAACACGAATATTCATGATTCTTTAGAGGCATCTATGTCAGCCAACTTATCAATGATGATTTCACTGTCACTGTTATGTGCCATTTCACTTGTGCAATGAGAAATAGAAAAGTATTAGAGATAATTAAGAGATATAGTGAAAAGGGTAATTCAAAGATTCACAAGGTTTTTGTTTAATGTAAATATGATGTTGTTCAATTAACATAGACATTCTTGGTTGGCATACTTAACCATGAAAAAAAATAAACATTAATTGTATTTTGCAAAATAATAGTTTGTTGCAATTATGGATTAATGGAAGTAGGATGGTATCAAATCAAAACATACGTAGTATGTTGATATATTTCACAGGAAACTACAAAGCAAAAAAAAATGAGTATGAAGACTTATCATATAGAAGGCTGTAGAAAGGAAGAAGTATTGATAAACAATGAAATGCGTACCTTTTTGCCTTTGATTAACCAAGCTAACAATTGTTTACTACAATAGAAGGCTATAGAAAGGAAAAAGTATTGATTTAGTATCGTAAATATTAATATAAACGAAAATGTAAAAACATAGATAAAACACAATAAAAACCCACATTTTGCAGAAACGTTGAAGGAAAAATTAAAATGGGTTTTGGCGGAATATGTCATATATATATATATATATATATATATATATATATATATATATATATATATATATATATATATATATATATATATATATATATGGGGATAGGGAATATACATTACAGCCCCACCTAAGCTTAGGTACTAAACTTCTAAAATATGTCGTTTTAACATGGTAGATATACCCGGTTTGGTTTCACTTGGTAAATATATCATCCTCCACAACATTTCTTTCTTTCATTATCGTTTTATCATCCCTATTTTCTTTCCTGAATTACCATTTATTACTTCACCCAAGTGAACATTACTAAACCCTAAATTTAAACCTTAAACCCTAAACCCTAAATCTAAACCTTAAACCCTAAACCCTAAACCTAAACACTAAACCCTAAATCTAAACCCGAAACCCTAAACCCTAAACCCTAAACCTAAACCTAAACCCTAAACCCTAAACCCTAAATCTAAACCCTAAACCCTATTGTGTCGATCTTGAATTTTCATCTTGAAGTATTAATCATGAATCCATTAACCGTAATCTTTATATAGTAAAACAATGTATTTTCAAGAGGTTTAGTACCTAAGCTTAGGTGGGGCTGTAATGTATATTCCCTATCCCCTATATATATATATATATATATATATATATATATATATATATATATATATATATATTCCCTATCCCCTATATATATATATATATATATATATATATATATATATATATATATAAACCTCTAAAATATGTCGTTTTATCATACTAAATATACCTGGTTTGGTTTTACTTGGTAAATATATCATCCTCCATAACATTTCTTTCTTTCATTATCGTTTTACCATCTATGTTTTCTTTCTTCAATTATCGTTTATTACTTCACCCAAGTGAAAATTACTAAACCCTAAACCTAAACCCTAAACCCTAAATTTAAACCCTAAACCCTAAACCTAAAATCTAAACCCTAAACCCTAAACCTAAACCTAAACCCTAAACCCTAAACCCTAAACCTAAACCCTAAACTCTAAACCCTAAACCTTACTGTGTCGATCTTGAATTTACATCTTGAAATATTAATCGTGAATCCATTAACCGTAA